CAGGCTCCGGAGTCAGCAGGGGACCGTGGGGCAGTGGGCAGCTCAGCAGCCAGCCCTCAGTGCCGCCCGCCTTGCCTGGCTGGGATCCTTCAACTTGCTGCTTGTACCAGCCAGAATTCAGGGCTGGCCCCGGCTTAGGGGAGGTGGTCTGCACCCAAGTCCTGCCCCAGCCCTCCCTCCTACCTTTTCCTCATTTCCATCCATTGCTGGCCATGGTCCTCGAGCCTGGAGAGCCGGAGGCAGAGGCCCTGGGCGGGGAGACCTGAGGCAGTGTCCAGCACGTGTGTGGTCCTCGGGCTGCTGACTGGCTCCATGCCTCTGTCCTGGGTCACGAGACAGGGGCAGGGATGAGCGTGTGGGCCCAAGCCGTGTCCAGACCAGCCTTAGAGTAAACAACCCCAGCCGGGCAGAGTCCCTAAGTGTCCCTTTGGGGGAGGGAGACCTGGAATTAATGATCAGCATGCGAGGCTGTGGTGTTAGCACGCTGAAATACAGTTCATAAACCAGCTGACCTGTCCCCCATCTTCCCCCACTGGGCCCCCATCCACTCCACCCAGCCACTGAAGGGTACCTCTGGCACACAGGCCTCCCCTTCCACCCATTTTTTCTGCTAGTCAGTGCTGGCGTGGATGGCCAGACCCGGTCTCCATGTTCTCCCAGAACACAGGTCGCTGCCCCTGGCTCATGGGTCACCGGACCTTAGCCCCAGACAGATGAGGCGACAGAAACTCCGTTCCCTGCCTGGCCCCCTCCCTGCAGGGAGCCCAGGTGTCGCCGGATCTTGTGCAGCCACAGGACAGCCCAGAGCTCATGTCTGGCTAATTCAGGACAGCTCAACAAGGTCAGAGGTCACCCCACACCCAACACCCTTGTGGTGGAGGGGGGGCGATGGCCTGGGGCACCTCCACCTGCTGGCCCCTGTCTTTCCTCTGTCACCTCCCAAGACCAGGGACCAAATGTCTGACCAACCCGGGAGGGGGGCGGGGTAGGTCCATCTCGGTGCCCACCAGTAGGGCCCCAGGGGACTTCGTTCAGGAATGGGCCCAGGCAGGGGAGCTGGGCCAATAGGCCTGCAGGGGTCTCCGACGCTACTCCAGGAGCCGGACATGGAGTCCAGGGCACCGGCGGAATGATGGGGTGGGGCTCTAGCAGGTGCTGGGCGAGACAGAGGCTCAACGAGCGGGTCTCGGGTCGGGGCAGGGGAAATCAAGGGGCGGATTGCGGGGGCAGGACAGGGGCTCAAGGGGTGGGTCTCAGAGTACCTGGCGGGGGCAGGACAGGGGCTCAAGGGACAGGGAGGTGTCTCAGGGTCAAAGACATATTTACTGAGTTTCAGAGCAGTTTACCCTGCTCAGACCCCAGGAGGCCTGCCTGATTCCAGCTGTGGAGGACTCTGCTGTTCTGGGTTCTTGGCTGACCACCCTGCCCGGTGTTGCCCTCAACTGCAGACATCAGGCAGCACTCACTTCTCTGAGCCTCCTCTACAAACTGAGGACTGGCTGCCAGCAGCTGACAGTTGGGCAGGAAGGGTGTGTAAAAACCGATCCCTGCACAAGGTGATCTGAGGCTGTGTGAGACAGCGGAGAAAGGCTGAAGCCCAAATGCCTTTTTACAACAGCTCTGGGAGTCGCTCACCATGATGTGCACAACAGGTCAGCCCTGTTCTTTGAAGGAGAGAAGGTACAAGGGCGTGGGTGGCAGAGGTGGATTTCGGGCGCCATCTTGGAGGCTGGCGGCCATGCTGGGAATTTGGTCTGTTGCTGAATGGGGAGTAAGAGGGTACAGACCAGTCTCCCCTCACCTTGAATTGCTCAGCGTTCCAGGAGAGTTCCAGGCTAGTCCTGGTGGAAGTGGAGGTGACCACCACCTGGGTCCCTCTCCCCACTGTATTTCAGCTCCAGCTTCTCTGCCAGCAACACTCCATAGCTCTGCCCCTGTCCCATGGCCCCTGGCTTCCAAGCCACAGACTATTCACAGTCTTCTGTCCAAGGGGGAGGAGTGCACAGGGAAGGGAAACAAAAGCATGGACACACACCTTCTTTTAAGAAGTGCATTTAAAAAAGAATAGTGGGTATTTAGTATTGAAATGCACATGGTTTATGTAGACTCTTCATAAGCCTGGCACAGGGACAGGGACAGGTGGGTCATTGCTGCAGGTGGTGCGTGGGGTTTGGGTGTCTCCCTGGGAGGCCTACACTCCTCTGTGTGTCCTCTAAGGGGTGGGGGGTTGGAATTCAGCCTCCCTGAGCCCTTTGTAGCAGGAACAGGACTGAGAAGGCTCAGGTCTCCCCGGGAAGTGGCGGTAACTCATGTGGGAGAGGGTGTGATGGGGGCCTCACTGACTGTGGTGCCTTCTCTGTTTGAAGTCGGTTCTGGTCCGAAGGAAACCGTGGCCCCTTGGAGCTGTCAGCACCTTCACTCCCCCAGTGGCAGGTGGCTTCCCTGTTCTGCCTGACTCCCACTCAATGTGTCCATGGGGATCTGGGCCCCTGGGTTCCTGTGGACATTATCTGTGAATGGGTGGCCAGGAATGACCAACACTGTGCACATCTGCTATGCTCATTGCATTGTCCCATCAGACTTCACTAACAAACGTCAGTTTAAAGACACAATAACTAAGAATTTTGAGGGCCGGGAGAGTGGTGCGTTGGTTAGGCGTTGTCTTGGGTCACTAGCTCTGAGCAGCAGGGCCCCAGTTCGAATCCCACATGAGGGCCAATGACACTGCCCTCCACAGCTGAGATGCTGAACAACAGTTGGACCTGGAGGTGGTCTGCCGTGAGGTGCCTGGAACAGCGTAGGCTGCAGTGAGGCTGCAGTGGGCTGCCGTGAGCTAACGTGTGTGGCCATCCAGTACCCTGCGTGCGACTACCTCACCTGGAAAGAGCACAATGATAATATCAACATAGGCCAGTGAAGCGACGTCCTCCACAACTAGATTGAACAAAAGGACCGCAACTTGTTTGTTCCCCTTCCTCGATTCCCCAGAGCTGTTCCCCTCCCCCAATTCCCCAATAAAATCTTAACAAAAAAAAAGAATTTCAAGGTGGTGATGAGGGCATTCAACATCGCAGGGCCAGGTACAAAGTAGGTGTGTTACAGAAGCTGCTGTGTGGTGGGCCACGCAGGTGCGGCGTGCCGGCCTCAGAGACCCACTTACAGTGGGACCAATTTCTGCAGGTGCTGTCCCCACAGTCAGTTCTCAGCAGGGCCTGCGAGTGCTTTGACTCGGCTTATTCTCAGTACTGTGTGCCTGGGCCCAGGCGCTCTCAGGCTGCCAGGCTCAGTGGGAAGGGCAGTGGCCCGGAAGGTGGTGCCCCCAGATGCCACGCCATCTTCTCAGGGCAGCCAACTCTATGCATAGAAAAGTGTGACCGCCCAACCTGTGAATCTGGCTCCCAGGCCCGAACCCTCTCCTTATGTTCCTATGTCCAGCACGAAGACGTGGGCACTGACAGGTGTTCAGGGACAGACACACATTCTCAGCCATCCTCTGAGCCAGATAGTGTCTCTGCTGACTCAGCTGTGATGGCAGCCCACGAGGCCGGGGTCACTATTCCCATGCATAGGTTAGAAAACAGGAACAGATAAGATGAGCGTCTTGCCCTAGGTCACACAGCTGGTGAAGGCAGAGCTGTGTCAAACCCACTATGGTCTAATCTGGAGTCCTCATGCTTCGCACCATGAGATGCTGACCCTCAAGGGACAGCAAGGAAAGGGTGAGGGAGACCAAGTGCCCAGACAGAGCCAGGTACACACACACGCACACGCACACGCACATGCACACGTCCCTGCCTGGCTTTCACTTCTGAGGCTGCAGAGGTTTAGGAAACCAGGAGAGGAGCCAAGAGAAGGAAGCCAAGGGAGGAGGTGGGGCCTCTTAGGAGAAAAGGACACACTTCCCAGGAGTCCAGGGAATGCCCTTCCCCCGTGAGTCTTCCTCAAACCCCAGATTTCTCTCCCTGGGCAGTCAACTAACTACAGTGACTCCAGACTCATGCCGTTCCGGGGTTGAACTCCTGTGGCTGAGCGTGCAAGTTCTCTGTGGCCCTCCTGACACCTGCTTTCAGGGGTGAGAGGGGAATGAAGTGTGTGGCCCTGAGATTTGTATGGAGACAAAATTTATTAGAACAGGAGGCCAAATAAACCATAGAGGAGATTGTTGTAACATCCACATAGCACTTAAGCAGCTATTTATCTCATCTCTTGTCTTGAAAGTGGAGGATGTGTTTAACCAGTTATTTGTGTCCTCATTACACTCTTGGGGGGTGAGGGGTCAGAAAATTCTCTCTGAAGTCCCCTCAGGCTGGGGTATCAAGTGTGTGGTGGCTACATTTGTCCTGTGGCTGTTGACAGGCAATTTAATGCTAATGACTCACTCATACTCCCCCAAAAACATAGGGCTTCTCCCCTGAGTGTGTCCTCTGGTGT